CGCGAGTTATATAAAGGATGAGTGCCACAATGGCCTTATGAACGAGTTATTTATACTATTTTTTCTACCGCGCACGTTTTTTCGCAAAATTTAGGTGAAATTTCAGTTTTTCTAAATCTGGGGGGAATTTTGTCGTGGTTGTTGATGGCTTAGTCTGACACGAACTCCGAAATATTTGAAGTTCGAATTTTCACAACAACAATTCGAGTTTTTGTAAGTTAAAATGTCTTGTGAAAAAGTTAGTGAAGTCCTTACGCCTCCCGAAATACGGGAAATTTTAATTTACATTTGCCATTGACATTCACCTGACATTTCTCGTCATGGCTATCAATCTTACCGATGTAAATTACACCTCTACATCTATTTCAGAACCCCTATTAACGAACCGCTTTGACGTCATTTGGGGGCTTTAATAGCTCTATTAGAAAATCAAAAAACCTGCGCGGTAGAAAAATAATTTTTAAAGTTTGGTTTTGTGAAATTTTTCAGGGTGGCCGGTTTTTTTTGCCGGTCAGTGTATAAAAAAATGGTCGAAGGTTACTTCGACAGAACTTCCCTCGCCCCCACAGCATGGTCCAACAAATCCCCCTTTTTTGAAAAATTGTACAAATTGATTTTGCGATATTTTATTTGTGGGAAGCTCTATAGATAAAAAAATTAGATAATAGCAGTAAAACTGTAAAAAAAAGAGTGATGTAAATAACAAATCCCAAGGGAGCGCAATCCACACAATATTTTAAACAGACAACCAAGTGGAAAACGTTTTCTCAACGTCTTAGTGCATCCGTAACTTCGCCTATACCATGTTCCGATAACAAAGCATTCTGGGTTAAAAAAACGAAAGATCACTTTTTTCGTACTCTATGGGTCATAACGCCGAGAAAACTTGAAAGTAGCAAAAAAAGTAAAAAATGAATGCGATTAAAATACTTTTTTGCCTACGCTTGGGAAGTAAAAATGATGAACTTATTGAAAGCGATCTTCCCAATTTCTGTGGTACGAATTCATTTTGTAGGTGTGGTAAATAAAAATAATAATAAAAAATAATTATATGATTTTTCCTTTGATTGATTAACCAAATGACTTTTGTTAAGGTTTGGTTAAATTTTAACAAAAGATGATTAAGCCCGTAACTAACTGCATACAATAATTAAAATAACAATGAATATATTAACTGTTAATTATTAAAACATGGTTAATTAAGTATTATTAAAATAATAACAAAAATTTATAATTTTTCAATTTATAATAACAAACTGTTTCAGTTTTTGAGAACTGTAGCAATTTTTTGTGTAAGTAGTATAACAAAAAAGATGGAACTGACAAATTTTCACACGATTGTGGGCATTATTTGTTGCAGCCAAGTCAGACGAATAACAGGATGACTAGTAAAAAAGTACTTCGTCGATGAGGTACAATTATACACACAAATTTGAAAAAATTCGCTTTCGTTTATAATTTGGATAATTCTACTCTTTGGCAACATCAGAATTTCTATAAGTTTGCAGTAAAATTAAAGGTATTGTAACAGGGTTTAAATGCCGAATGATTAATTTGTTATATGTTTAATTCAAATATTTTAAGAATATCGCGTAGATAATAAAATGCTAATTATAATTTGAATGATCATCCCCACTAAAAATTTGATGACATATTCTGAAAATTTTACCAACGACATCCTACACAAAATGTAAATAATAATAATAATAATTGTCAAACAAAATTTGACAAATTAATTTAGAGATTATGAAACCGATCTAACTTTTTTTTTTTTAATTTCTACGATATACTTAAAATTTGGTAATTTTTTGTCTCAAACAAGATAGAAAGAGAAACAGTTTTACCTGAAATATTTCCACCGCTATACAAAATTTGTAAAAAATCTGGCGAGAAATATACAGCATAATGTACTACTATACCTAAAGTTTATTTTGTGGACGAAGGAATTTACCCCGATTTCAGTTAGATGCACTGTTTCGTGGCATTTAATATAAAGGACTGCAATCCACCGCTTCCACACCCTGAAAATTTTTAAATGATTTTTCTTGCAAAAATGGAAAAAAAAGTCTAATATAAGCATTAGAAAAAACAAAGTTGGTACTTGGTACTCTAAAATTTAATAGAATGCAATATCGTGGTATCAGATTCGAAGTTTATTGTAGAAACATAATAAATGACTTTAAAATGTTCGAAAAGGTTGAATTTTCTTTTTTTAAAACAATTCTGTCATTATTAACAGTATTCAAAAAACATTCGCTCCCTAATGAAACAGAACAACTTCTATTTAACTTGACTGAATCACATATATTTGCCGAGCAACAAAATTTGTAATCGTCATCCTTGAAATTGACTCCGTACGTCATCTCTGAAATGATGTGTTTAACACTGGGTCACAAAAACTACGTCGTAGAAAAGTTTTTAACAAAATTAAATTTAATTACCTACAGTTTTGTAAACCTAACCAGAATTTGAACTGATTTTTAACTTTTACGTCAATTGATTAGTCGATTTCGTTGTGACTTTAACAACTGTGTATGAAACGTCCCTTCTAACCTTACTTTTCTTGTTTTCTTGATTGTTGAAGAAATAATCTTTATAGTTCTTTTCAAAACTTTATTTGCGTATTCACTCAAAAATTTCCATTGGAGCAGAAAGCGTTTAATGATTGAGTCGTACATTCGAAATGAACAGAAGGTAAACGGTGCGAGGGAGTACTCGATGAATTCTAAGCAGAATTTCCCAGCAACATCATCGTATATGCCCATTTTTGAAATGCATTACAACGATGTGTGACAAAGAAAAAAGGGAAGCGGGAGATGGAGAGATAAGAGAACTCCAGAAAATATTGGAATTGTTAAACAGATAATGAAGCAGAACCCAACAACATCCATGCGACATTTAGCGCAGTGAAGGGAAATATCGTATTTGCCGTGAAATATTTTTAAAAGATTCCTCATCGATTAACATCCAATTTTACATCTAGGGTTGAATAATGTCACTGGTTTTAGGACACATTTGATGATCGGCTGTTGAAAGAAAAATTTCCAAGACGAAGTCTGATTTCAATGGCTACATTTACACACGTTTATCTTGAGACCTCCTTCATCCTCTGGTGTTTGGGCTACAATTAGTCAACGACGGATAATAATTTATAATCATGCAATTAACTGGTCTATTCAATGTAATCCTCTTCAAGGTAACCTAACCGCTGCTTGATACTAGCAAAAAATTTTGGCAGAATTTATACGACAACTTCGCGACGATAAAATGGGAGTAGGTTATTTTGAACGAGAGGGGGCTACAGGCTATTTTTTTGTGTCGAACTTATTAAATAAAATTAATTATCCTTGTACCAGTTTTCTTTATTTTCAATCTTATTAAAAAATGTCCACCAATTTTACTGGTACATTTGTCATTTTTTGACATTTATCAGTGTGGTTTAATCAACGACATATTAAATCCTTTCCAATGATGACTCGAGTAAGTCAAATTATATTGCGCGTCGTAGAAGTCATAGAAAAGTGTGTAAGGACCTATATATGTACTACATATACATCAAGAATTAAAGAAACACTTAAACATCATGCAATATATGTATAACAGAAATGTATACCTACACAACCAATACGGGCAGAAGTTCAGTTTTTAATTTTTTGAAAACGCTATTCATACCTAGCCATTGAGAATAAGAATTATTCAGTACATTAAAGCATAAATGTCTGATTCATTTGTAAGTATTGTTTTCATTGAAAACTTTTTTGTAAAGGCATGCAATCAAAATAATACTTTATTCTGTGCCTAGTTGACAAAAGTGAATTCAGTAAGTGACGAATGCTAACAAAATGATGCTTATAATGCCAGTTGGCACAAATAGATGTTTCAGTGCTAGTTTGGCTCGATTTTTAAAGTTTTCAAGACACATTTGTGACCGCAGAAAATATATACCTATTTAAGAAATTTTTAAGTCAAATTTGACATAAAAACGACCTACATTAGATACAGTTTTCTCCCAATTTAAAACTTTCGTTGATCTTTATTGTTACTTCTAATTAAAAATACTTTCGAAAACATTATTTCTCAGAAAACAATAAAAGCCTCAGGTACGATCCTCTTCCTATACGATAATTACATTATAAAAATTCCCTCGCTTGTAAAATTAGACCAGAAGAAATTACATTAGACTTCATAATAATAGTAGTCCCAATTTATTGTATTCATCCAACAATGGTTGTCTAACAAGTAATTTAACAAAGGGGTATTACAAATTAGAAATTATATATGTACAAAATTATTTATAAGAACTGATGTCGTAACTTCAAAAAAAAACTGAAAAAAGTAATTGTAATATATATACTCAAGTATCTAAGGAATTATAAAAATAAACACAAAATGCTGGAATTATTAAATTAATTATAAGTTAGCTACATGTACATACCGTCTGTATAGAAATACCACATTTCAGCTCAATATTCTTCCTTGACCGATAATATTATATTTTTAAATTTGATAAAATACTTTGCTTTCATGTTCTAGGTACACATGCAAAAGCGGCATCCCAGCTATTCATTCAAATTACCGGTTTTCCATTACCCCCGTTAACTGCTGAACAGACTGCATGCCTGCTATTCATTCTTTCGCCATTTCCTCTTTTTTGAAATGTTTAAAAGTCTCAAGATATTCAAGCAATGGAGCGTTACAATTTATTTCTTAATTCGAAATTCCAACTCTCATCAAGATTTACAACTATTCCTTCACCTTATCTGTCAGTTTGTATCAGTGAAAACTTCCACAATCGTAATAAAAATCTAGGTAAAATGCGCAACGTCACTCGCATTTTCAGCGCAATACTGCGTTATTACAATACTTTCGAGGTAACATAGAATAGGCCGGCTTAGAAACTTAGCTCGTAAAAGAACCGCAAAACATTCACTCAAGTAGCCGAAGCATTCGCAGCGGTCCCAAACAATCAAACCCGTTAGTATTTCGGTATCTTTTTTCAGAAATCTCTGACATCTGCAATAATTGAGCGCAATTACGAGCGGCCAGAAATTAATAACGCCGCTGACCCAAATCGCGCCACAAAAAGAAGTTCCAATTACATTGTTCGCGCGTTATGCGTTTGAGAACCTCAGCCGAGAGCAGGTAGGAGTGTTTATTGACGCAAAACATTTAATTTAAAACAGACGTCATTCTGTGATTGTTGTAGGCGTGAGAGAGGAGATTTCCACAAGACAATACTCACCTCTTTTTTGACTGGTAGCAAATTATCTCCCTCGTCATCGCTGAGGGTCGAGCATGTGGAGCAATTAGAGGACTTCCTGTACGGCTTCTTAAGGACGTACTCCGACTCCAAGCTGCTTATCGTGGACCCGCAGTAGTTCAGGTTGCTGCAGGAGCTGTGAAGACTAGAATCTGGAGACGAATTCTCTTTTCTTTGGCTCCGGATGTACTCTATGTCCTCGAGGGTCAAGCCCATGATGTCGTCAGAATAATCGCTCACTACCACCGAAGGAGTTCTCCAGTACCGGTACCTGGGCTCCTCGCCGTCGTCTGTAAAACAGCTCTGTCTACGACTGTCATTCCGATAGTCACTATCACTAACACAATCACTGAACTTCCGGTCCATAGGGAATGGAACGAATTGCGACTCGATAAGGGTGCGACTGGGGACGTTATCGTGGTCGATGGACCCTCGTGGGCTGTACGGGCTTTTTATCGTCTCGGTATGCCTATAGGGCTCGCAGTCTGTCTCTTTCTTCTCTCTCCAGGTCAATTCGTCCTCGCTGTGCCCCATGGCAGAGTCGCTGCTTCCGCATCGCTGTACCTTGTTCTCGTTCTCCCAGTTCCTGTCCTTCTCGTCGTCACTGGCCCCGGTGCTGTAGCCGCTGGTCGGCGGCAACAACAGCGAATCGTCCTGCTCCTTCCGCTTTTCTTCCTTCTTGAAGCTCTCCATAGTCTTCTGCAGCATCGCCATGTAATTCTCCCTCAACAGCTTCACGCTTTTAAAAATCGTACCGTCTTGGTACTTCTTGAACTCGTACACCCCCGTCCGCCTCTGTCTCTTCGGGCGATCGTTTAAACCACCGTCCTCGGTTACCTCTTCACTGTTTGTTACCTGGTGCGCCATCTCTGCAACGCTCGATGAACTGAAGCTGCTCTCGTTATCGTTTCCTGTAAGACTTTTATAGTATTCTTTATGGCGCTCCGCTTTTAGTCGTATGATTTCGCGCAGGTCTTCGCCAGCCATAATTTCATCCCTTACGAGCTCTTCGAAGTGGTGTTTTGAACCAAGGGGTGTGCTTTGCGCGGTCTCCACCCCGTTAATTAGCCAAGGCGGGGAAGTTGCACCCTCATCCACGCGGCGGCTCCAAAAACCACTGAAACTGAAAGTCTGTGTTAGAGCTGTGCTAATTGCAGCTTCTGCGGTTCTGTTATTACTAATTTGTGTTTACTCAATGATTTGTAACGTTATCTGGGTTTATCAAAAGTATATATTAATAAGTTAGTTTTTTATAGCATGAGCGGTTGAGAATACACTATCTGAACATATGTTTTATTAAATGTGGACCAGTTAATGTAAGAGAAAACAACGCTTTGTTGATAACATAGTATAATCATAATAAGAGTGTGTCAAAAATAGAGAAAATTTAATCAGAAATGTGGTCGCGTTTTTTTTACTAAAAATTGCAAAAACAGCATGGAAAATAATTTTTGTGAAACATCCTTATAAACACTGCAATAATTGTCATTACATTTTTAATATTCATCTAACTATTCTTAAAATTCATCGACCGTAAAAACACAACACAAACACAGATTTTGGATCTCAAGTGAGTTACCCCAAAATCGGTCAACTGTAAACGAAACGTCGGCATATTTCATCAACAAGGTTAACTTCATCAAGACGTTGTTGGCTTCACCCCCTCTACAACTATACGCAAGATTGAGTAGAGAGGAGTGGGGGATAGCATCAGCATCAGTACTAAACACCATGTTCTTGTTTTTATTATAAATAAATACTTCTAGAGATTCTAAAACATCTAGAAATTTACAACTGTTTAACTGTCCTGACAAACGAGCACTGATAAATTGTATGATTATTTCACAAATATGTTGAGCAACACGTGATTTTTTTTAATTTACTGAACTTCAAATAAGATTATTATTTCTATGAAAGCAGTTGTGAAACCGTAATTAAAAATATATTAAACACACGCGACCAATCCTCATTAGCTTAAAAAAAAACATTAATGATTTTATCTACTCTGACAGATTGGAAAAATCAAACAAATTTTTAAAAATAACCAAAACACTGCAAAGAACGTTTAAAATAACTGAAGGTAATAAAAGTTCTGAATTTTTACATAGTCACTAGAAATTGTTATAAATAAGAATATAATGTCAAAGCTAAAGCTTCACGGAAATAATCGTGTAAAATCAGTATTTTTTTAAGCGTGTTTACAATATTAACTTCTATATTGGAGCGTGTTTCATCCATTCTTCCTAACAAACCCAGGGAGTTGTACTGGATTTTGGAAAAGCTTCAAGCTAACAAAGTGCGTAGAGTACCTACCGAAATTTCTAAAAACCTTACGACTTTAAAGGAAAAATTGGTCCATTTATGAGATGTTCATTAATAGTTTGTTATTATCATGTTGAGGTAACTGCGGTAAGCAAAGAGTCATTTCAAAAGCTCCGGCAGGTGCCACGAGTAGTATATACGATTCCCAAATCCGTATGACAGAAGAGGCAAAAGTTCACAATAAACTTCTGGTAAACAAACAAATTAGGTTTTTGTTTGTTAGTTCAACGTTAACAAGTTTAGGTTCTGCGGAAATTTCACTTAGCTCGAGTCATCAGATTCGAACATTTTCCATTCCGATTTGTGTACGTGAATCGACGTACAACTATACAGTCTTAATTTTCATGTTTATAACTATAAACATATCCCTCAATACAATAAAATACAATTTTGATATATTTGTTTTAAACAAAACTGTAAGGGTAATCATGTTTTCTATTTTTTTTTATCCAAAAGTTAGAATGAATGTTTAACATGTATTTTTTGGACAAAGTCTTTAACAGAGCTTTGTATTTTTGTCCCCACTAAAAACTTGATGACGTCATCTCAAAGTGTTGCTGAGTAAATGCTATTTAAAACGTGCAAAATAATACGGTTCTAAACCTGTGATGTGATTTATCAGTTCACCACGCTTTTTAACCTCATGCATGTATATTTTCGAAAAAAAGTCAACATTTTATAATTACTTAGAGGCTAGGGAACCAATTACTCTGAAATTTTGCTTTTGATAGCTTCTACAATACGAAAATGCAGATCTGTTGGTGATTTTAGTAGGTAGGTATACCTTAAAGTATTTGAATTTTAGGTTTATTCATTATATTATCAATTAATTAAATATAAATATATGCATGCATTCTTATATAAATTTATATCGGATTTTTATTAACTGATTTATTAACTGAAAGTACCTACGTAATCCAATAAAATGCTGTTCAGTATATTAAAACTGAATGAGCTGCCAAAGTACGACTGGTTCATCAAACGTCATTGAAATTTAATCAGAACGATTGTTTGTGTAGTAAAACTGTAATTTGTTGCAACCAACTAATTATACGAATTAAAATTAATCAAATAGTAAACGACTGTTACATACTTTCTGTAAAACACTCCATTATTATTATCTAGCAAACACTATAACCAACGTGTTATTTAATATCTAATGATAAAAAACTCACGTGCAGGGATATGTTTAAAATTCAAAATATGGTTGTAGATGTATCTTTCAGAACATCTATACACATCCATTGTCAAATCTTGAATAGTTAGAAAGCTTATTTATCAAAACCAGAAAATACAGAATAAGATTATATATAAAATCAATGATTGATGGTTAACGTACATGTACTAGAAAACTTGTGATGAAAAGAGTTAATAATATTTAAATTTTTGAAATATTGTTAATGTAATACTGTCATTATTATTTTTCACAAAACCTTAAACCCTCCCAAATTATTTAGATATTGCACTATAAAAAAGTTGGATATCGTAGAGAAACACAAAAAAAGTTGTAGGGTATCAAAAAGCGATAAAACATGTAGAAAAATATATAGGCTGTCATTTAATTTCTTACACTGTTACTAGTATTGTGTATGCATTTTTTAATGTATAGAGTTTAGCACAAATAAATCAAAGTTCGCACAATAAAACGGGATTTATTGTAGACGGGGGGTGGGGGGTCGAAATAACCTTCAATCAATTTTTATTTAAATTATTATTATTAGGTTATAAAAGTGATTTCACGCATTAGTATTAACCACAACAAGTTTTGTAAACATGGAAACACTTTCTTCTACGTGTGATTGTTGTAATATCCACGTCATCAACATTAATTATTTCGATGTGTCGTGTATTTGAAAATAAAACATATGTAACACCTTAAATAACGTTGATTTATGGATATATTGAAGAAGTAGGTAGATTAGCTTTTATATTTAGGCACAAACAAATGTCATTGAAATTATATTCATAAAAACTACGTACAATTTATTCGAACAGTGAATGTGAAGGAAAACATTTTTCCGCAGTTCTGTATTTTATGGAACATCTGTTCACATATATTATTATTAATCTCACAATATAGGTTGGTTTTTCCAAGTGAGCACTCTTGTTTGGAAAAAAAAAACATTTGTGTCAAAGGAGAACCATTATCTAACTTGTCTCACCTATAAAATAAGTTAGACGGGTGCGGTAATCTAATGTTACTGTACTCAGCTGAGTAGAATAAGTCGAATTTGCTCAATTGTCATAAACAGAGATTATAACTATTACTAATTTACGTTTTAATTACCCTACTCACTACTTTAAACAAAATGAAGATCATGTCAGAGATGGAAACTTTGTGACGATTACAAGTCTAGAATTACCTCCCTAAAAATTAAATAACTACTTAAATAAGTGTGATCTAGGTAAACCTCATGTTACTACTATGGGAAACATGAATTATTCGTAAATCAATTTCCTGTGTTACTGTCAATTAAAAAAAATTTAATTTACAAGGGTTTATCAGGCCTCTTTTTATTTTGTCCTGCGTTAGATTTCTAATTAAAAAAAAAGTTTTTCATATAACGGTTCCGACGTCTTCCTGCTAAATCTTGATGAACATGGACTAGAATTCAATATCTGTTATATATTTTGATTGTTTTAAGAAACGATCAAAACTGCTTCTAATGATGTTAAATTTTTACACTGAATACACGTAAGATTTTAGACTTCCTGTTTCAGGTAAAATGAAAATACATATGTACTTCCGTCCCGACTGAAGACAAGGAATGTGGTAAAATTTAACTACAAAACAATGAACAGCAAATTGCAGTTCCGTGAACTGAATAAAATCTTCTCGTGCACAAGAAAAAAAACACAGTTCATTAAAATTCACAAAACAAAATATATACATGAGAATAATTGTGAATAGTACTTAGCAGAGTTTCATCTGTTTTTACTAAAAACAGTAGTTTACTTGTAAAAACCATTCATGAATAGATTTTATGAATAAGATCTGGTTCATGATCACACTACAATGAGTCACGTCATAAATGTTTGTCGTGGGTATATGATAACTTCTTGTAAAAGAATCATTATTGTCAGATTTTAATATCTCTAGGCAATAATATAACGGAAAAATGAGTTTACTTGCAACTTATTTGTCAGATAAAATTGTCACAAAGGATTATTTAACCAGTTCTGTAAAATTTTCATTATTGAAATATAAAATTAGAATGAATAATTACTAACAATTTTGCGCACTTTATTCCAAAATTACCTCGATAAAACTGTAACTTAAAATTTGCAGTTGGTAGTACCGATGTCAAGCGAATCAGACATAACCAATTTGTCACGTGGCTGTCACGTCATGTAAATTGTAGACAGTACATAAATTAATGCACAGTATTAATATTTATCATTTGCTATTACCAGACAAAACATAGATGTATTTATTAGATAACAAGTAAGATTTACTTAATTATCAAATGACATCACTAGTTTTTCAGAACACATGAATAGACACATTTTGGTAAGGTTTTACCGTCTTTAAGATAATCTTTAGATACACGTAAAACTGCAAGTAATAATATGAAGTAGGTACAGAACCAAGACGGAAATTTTGGATTTTTATATTGAACGAGCTGTGAAAGGCCGGGAAAAAATTAAATGACGTATCCGTCGAAATAACTATTTGAATACTTTACTTAGCTATCGCTTGAAAAATAAAAAATAAATAATACGTGGGAAATTTAAGAAAGTGCTCCCTAATTAGTCTCCTATTTTAAAAACAAATAAGGATACCTACGTATTTAAAAAAAATGCAAACTATGAATCAGAATTCCGTGAAGTCCTTAAGGTGATGTTATCCGTTTAGTTTTCAGTGAATTTACAGCAGATTTTGTTTCACAAATACTAGACAACTAGTTGGAAACTGCACCCAATTTTTTTTTTACAATATCTTTGATATGCTATTAGTGTCCGGAACTTATAAAATTGGAGAAAAAATGACCTGTTTTGCTCTAATAAAATCGTAAATATGCTCAAAATCACACTAATATTAGGTCCGACTGTGCCGACCATAGTTATAAAATTCACATTAAAGTAAGTCATGGACATTCTTTGAAGTGTTTAGTATGGTATTTCAAAAAAAAATAAAAAATTCGCGATTTATAAAACTTCATAATTTTGGTTTAAAACTGATCATGTTTGAAGCTTTATTTTGTTCGTTCCATTTGCTGTCTCTTACTGCGGTCTCTCTCGGATTGGAGTCTAACACCCACCGAACGTTCTTGGACCGATGGGATAATTTATTACTTCCGACATCTTTTCGGTGACAAATTTAATCTTTGCATAAATTTACTTCAGTGTAGTTAGTGAACTCGTTGTGACCATTGAAATATATAAAGAGTAAATTTTGAAATGGGACGAAAGTCGAAGATTCCACTTTCAAAGCCACGAAAAAGTCGAAAAAACTTTTATCAGAATTATTATGTCAAAAACCTACTAAAACTACAAACAAAAAATGCAGTTTAATCGTCATTTGATTAGTTTTACTATTATTATGCTTTTATTTCCTAATTTCTGTACATATAAATATTATTGTTTTTTAGACCCGTCGCTGTTTTTCTACACTTACATAAAGTGTAAGTCAATGTTACTAATAGAAATTTTATTATTGTTACTTTATATAATCACCAATCCTATTGCTTCTCGGCTTTTAGTCAAAGATCAAAGTGTATTACCTGAAAGAATTTTATTTTGTTGAATAAAAGATTACCATAAACCTTATAATTAGCCGGATAACCATTCAGTATACACAGGTAATTTCTATACCTCTTTAGTTTGAACTTAGCCGATACTAACCAGCTAGGGAAGCAGTTATAATTGAAATATGTAATCCAAATACTTGAAGTACTTAGTTTTAAGAAAAACAATTAGGTATATTTATAAATACGCATAAATAAAAACGAAACAAATTATTGGTCTCTAGTTTATTTTATAATTTGCATTACATCATGACATATAGGTACCTACTGATGCAGAAATTGGTGATTTTCTCGTTGCATTTCAGTATAGGGACACACTCAGTAGAACCATTTGGACACTTAAAATTGATTTTATTTTACTTGCCACAAATCTTTTTAAGTGTTGCGCGAGTGATTGTTTTGTGTCCGAAAAATAACTGCATTTATAATTATTCGGCTGAGTGCTTTTTTTGTTGTAAATCAATCAGTTTCCCAATTAGATTATAATTGTTTGGTCTAACTATTTGTTGTCTTAATTTTTCGAAGTTCATTTTTGTACACATTCAGATTTTTATTTCTTATTAATTTCTTGTGGTCATTTCTATAAACTCGTATATGAAAATTGAACTGTTGACGAACGAAAATCGAACAATAATACACGACAAGGGGGTGCCGAACTGTTCCAGAGATTATGGGTGTCATAAATTACACCCCAGCTTTCCTGAGTTTCAACCAGCTTACTAGTACTTCTCGTCTTTATTTTTCTACACGCAAACTTCTTGTGAAGACAATAACACGGCAAAATTAAAAATCCGACAGTTTTCATTTAGCAAACATCCCCTTAAGAGGAACTGCAATAAACATTTTTCTAGATATTTACACACTTTCATATTATTGAGCAAACTCCTGTATTATTATTAGGTATTAAAAATTTATAAACCATTAATTCTAATTTCAGAATTAAATAACTGTGAAGTATTATTAAATTATCTAACCTAGATCTAAATTAGCATTCCTTTTAAAGTAAATGTAAAAAATAGAGTGAAATATGATACTGTATTTTAGTAAAAGTTTTAATATTATTTTCTTTGTTACGTATTTTCCATTCTAATATATTGAATTGTGTTTTATACTCCTAATTTTTTGGGTACTTCAAAATTCACAAATTCGTCTCAACGGCCATAAATGCTTATTAAAAATACTTTGATTATTAAAAAACTTTGGACCAAATTTTTTTTATTAGTCAAACATGAGCTTCCTTAGGTCGAAAATAAATACGCAATTTTACCGGTGTCAGAATTCTAAATCAAAAAACTTTTCTTTAAAACATCTACGTTACGTTCATATGAAAACATTTACGTTTTAGGTGCAATATCCCTACAGTTTATTTCACAAGCTGGTGCATCAAAGTCGTAAAATTTTCTTACAACTTGCTTTAAGTGCTCGTGTTTATTTTGTTGGTGATAAAAAAATAAAAACATTTTACCATGTGTATTGTATAAATTCACGCTTTCTTCTGAAGTTTTGTATGTTTGAAAAGATAAGTTTACGCTTGTGAAGCAAATGACGAGGCGTAGCCGAGTAAAAAATTATTCGAAAGCGCAAAGACGTTTCGACTAGTTATGCACAATTTTTGCACGAACCAAGGAGCTTTCGTGTCAGTACTATTTATTTGTCAAAGTGCAATACTCCTATATTTAAGTGGCATTGCCATTATATATAACCTAAATTTAAGCTCAGTAGTCACATTTAAAAAATTGTTTTTAAAATTATCAAATTAGTGAATTGTGTAAATAATTAAGTATGTAATTTTTACGTTTACAAATTTAGTTTTTAATAATTACAAATTCATAAACAGTAATAAAAGAAGTAAAAATGTTCGAAAAGTATAAATTACAAGAAGGCTACAATTAATTTTTAATGACCATTCCAAAAATAAATGAAATAAGAACAGTAAGAAATTTATATTAAGCTGTTATAAACAATAATCATACTCTTTTGTAATTAATGTGAGTTTTATGGTTATGAGTTGACATAATTAATTAACACATTTTAAACATTAATTAATAACATGCCTAGATTAAATTTTCAGTGATTGGCAATTTCTGTTGGTATTACGATAATTAAGTATGATGTGATATAATACAGTTTGACTGTTTCAACACTGTTTTTTTTTAATAGACTTTATTTTGCAGTTTTGGTCCTTAAATTAAATACTAACCCTTAATAAAAATGTCATAGTTAAAACAGTTTAAACAAAGAACTTGAAAAGAAGTTATTGAAATCGAAATATTTCTAAAATAAATGTCGAAAAATGCGTATGAATAACGTTACACTTACGAACGACTATACATGTATTTATTACATTATATTGGGTCACTGGGATCGGTTATGTTCTTGGAAATAATTTATCGCCTCTAAAGTCACACAGCGCCGATCCGGTCATAGGTTGAGAAAAATGTCTCTAAAGAACGCTACACTTTTTCCATGTGGACACTTTCACAAATCTCGTCTTGCGGCGTCAAAATTTGAGCCTTATGTCCTCCTAAATACCGTCTGGTTCCGTTGACCGTGCAGAGCCGGCCTTGCTCACTTATCATTGGCCTCAATACTGCCGAACCTCTGGGCATATATGGCGTTGATATTGCAGTGTACCAGCGAAACATTTAACGGTAACTGGTCGTGTGCGGATCTCACGATATCGTCCAGGTCAGGACTCACAACAAGATTTTCCAGTCGCGATCAAAATTATGCAAAAACGTCAGGAACCGATCATTTAATTGGCAATAACAATAACAACAAAAAATTAATTAATTAAAACTCGTACCTAACAAGGCCTCCAAATGTCATCTGGTCTCGGAGCGTGGCCATAGCACAGAAGCTAAAAGAATGGGCCGACAAACTTTGCTCTTCTTAGGTCAATTACATTAAGTCGTTTAGGATTGACGTCAGTACCGTTTCGTAAGTACCTCGGGTTTAATTTATGTTGCATGTTTTTCAAGAAGAATCGCAAAAACTATAGACAATCTACGGTTCTTAAGTAAAAACAAATACGATTTAACGCAGGCATCAGGTAAATAAGTCGCTTGTTGTAGATTTTTTGCTGACAAGCAGCCACCGTGAAGATCTTTGCATAAACTTGTTAAAAGTCCGTGTACTGTTATTACATTTAATAAATTATATGTTGTAGACCAAGAATATCACTTACCACTCCATGAATCATCTGCTCGAAGTCATCCGGATTTAGTCCTGCAAGAAAAAAAAGACGAGAATAAATTAATACTTACATACTGAAATACACACACGTCGTTTCGCTTCGCACAACAATTCATAAGTGTACTTATTTGCTCAAAAGGTATAATAAAGACATATATCTCATCAGAACAATGTTATCAGGGTAAATGACTATTAAAGTCACTCAATTATGCATAAACATTTAGAATAATAAGTTCACATGATAAAATTACCGTGAAAGTGTTACAACTATTGTTGGCAGCAATCAGGGTGAATACAAAGTAGCGTGACTTTTTTCACGCTCATTAAGACTCGTCGACACGTATAAACTACATGTTCTCGATCACAAATATCAAAATTTTAAACTAATGAACTACCTACTATCTAGTCCACTACTGGGCCGCGTGATACGTCTTGTATTATGAATGAATACTTCTTCGCCTTGATAACCAACAGATTTTCAAGACGTGTTATTTCGGTCACGTATCTTAAAAAATAAGTTACATATTAAGGAATTATTAGTCGCATCCAATGCACGAATCAAACATTTCACACACACATGAGCGAGAATCTGCGATTACAAAAATGTATTCAATAAATATGGTACTCGCTTAATATACAAATGAAAACAATAATTTTCTTATACATAAAATTTGTTTTCTAAATATTGCGATTTAGTCCTGTTAAATTTACGTAAAATTCAGTTTGTTAGAAACTGTGGCTAGAAATCGTGCTCATACTATCAAAATTAACATTAGATGTTGTCAAAAAATACTCACTAGTATCCATGTATTCCGTAATACATATTTTTGAGATGACCTAAAAGTTCCAAATTAAGAAAAAAAAAAACAAGATAACATCACATTGTAACCAAAGGAAATGGATACAAAATTTTACATGTATTAAATTCGTAAATTTTTGATATATTACTTCCCAAGTGTAAACTAAGGATGTATTGTGGTACGCTATATACGGTCTGTTTTCTCGACGTTTCGTGACTCCTAGAGTACGAAACAATATGTCTTCCGTTTCCACCTGCCTGTCGTGTGTGTTGATATTCTACTATACAGGTAATCCACGAGAATTTTGGATTGATTATTGTGAAATTTTATATGTATGATAACAATTGTGTAGATGGTAAAACGCTTAGCAAATTTTATCTGATCATCCTCACCAACAAATGCTATTTAAATTTTATAAAATAACATCCTCCTGTACTTGTGGTTTATGAAGCCACTATGATTGATTTAATTATTATTTTAATTTTTATTGTTAAAAAATCGCTACATATTTTACATATGACTGAATTAAAAAATTGTTTTCTTCGTACGGTTTCAGGGTTAAAATATTAGAGTAATAAGTGAATTTAGGGACTGTGACAAAACAATTTAATAACGACTACACACTATTAAGAAATCGAAGTGAGTAGAACTAGAACAAAGTAATCTTTATGAATGAACGCTGATTAAATTGGGTACGATTCTGTCTGTGTAGTGTTCTTATTGTCGCATTATTTGCTTATTAATCAACTTAATAGCATACTATAGTGTGTTATGTCATATTCATTAAAATTAAGTAATATGAATTGGCTAACTCACTCTTGAATCATAAGCATAATTTTGTGTAATCGTAAACAACATTAATGTATCATAATAAACTTCCTCATTTAAATATATTTTTAAGAAGGTTAAGAACATTTTGCTTCCTTATTTTTACTTTTTCTTGTGGTTTTTCTTATTAACGACTCACGAAATTATAAGTTTACGAGTACATAAAGTAACGACTGTTCTATATGTTTGTGTCATATTTGTAAGAGTTAAGTATGATTGTTTTGTTGTACAAATTGTACAAGGAATAGTTATCTAGGTATACGTCTTACTGAACACTACTTTAACAGTTGACACAATTTTTTAATGAAAACGTACGTACCAAAGTCCTAAAATCTGTATTCTTGCAGATTGTTTTACAAGTTTTTTTTTATTTTTATATACCTACCTACTTTGTTAAGGTACGATCGAAAAAACTTGACTTAAACGTGAAGCTCATTTTAGCAAAGACAATGAACAGCTATTTTTAGCAACTGTATAACATTTGTGCCCCAAATGTGATTAAAAATAACAACCGGTTTTGATATCACCATAAAATCCGATAAATCGTGACTATTATAATTTTTAAATAGGTGAAATGAATTCTAAATTTAAGCTTAACTTCCCAGTGACAAACTGATAAAAATGTCAATACTGTCAAAGAGGCAAAAAGTTTAAGGATGTAGGTATTATAGAAAATTGATGTTCATTACTTTGTATTTTTAATGGATCTCAAATGTTGTTTCCGAACACAATGTATTGCTGAAAATGGTTACCTGCCTTTCGGAAGGCGACTGAACGGTTGTGAATTGATTCATTGGTTCCATTAAAATAGAAAGAACCGTATCTACGTCTTGACGTCATTCAGTTTTATTTTTTAAATAATCGACATAGTTTTTGCTACCTTTAACAAGTTTTTAAGGATGCTACTAAATTCTATGACGTTAAAAACCAAAAAAAATTACAAAAACGTATTTCCGTTAAATATGATTTTAATTAGATTATTAAGGATTTAAATTTCTTTCTTGTAATTCATGGCGCATTTTTTGTAGCCTCTCTACAAAGTGTAATCCTTGATGGCATGCTAAATTGTTATCTGCAATTTGACTTAACTTACTGCATATCGGATGTCCCACGAATCAGGCTAACCCCTTTTTTTCGCATGTGTTAATCGATTAAAACGTAACTTGCAAATTAGTACATTCTCTACACGTGGAATTTTTGATAATCAAATGTTCATATTCCCGTTTTCCACAAAAATGCATTCCAAAATAACAGAAAACACGAAACGGTGTGTTTACAGTGTATATGTTGAAAATTGTTTTAAGATTAATTAAAACCAAATCAAAATATCATAATAAAACTTGATGACTCAATCTCATCCAGTTTCGTTAGAATTCTTTGAACATACTAACATATGATTAGCAATATTAGTATGATATCGCATATAATTATTAGGAGTAGGTCATTTCAAAAAAATGTTTTTTTTAATTACAGCAATTATCTGATATTCTTAAAAGTTTGTGATACCTACGTATATACACATAATTGAGTCTGTTAGGCATGTGCCAGGAGCTATGCCTTAGAAACGAGGGAAGTTCGATGCAAATAAGTGGGATTTATAGACCTGCTGTTGATGTTAAGTTCCCGTTGCAGTTGCTGTTCCCACTGACGTTACTTTTAGAGCTGAAAAGTGTCATTTATAAACTCCGTTGCCAAGTTGTCGTTGATAATAACTTTAATGTTCAACTTCGACCGTATTTAAATGGTTGTAGAAGAAACGTGGAGGATTTAAGTTGATTACTACATAAAATTACCATTTTAGACATGTTTTAAGTTTCTTGTTGTCGAAATGAGTCTGCATATATTAAGAAAAAAAGGCAAAGTGTAGTACGTCCACCCGCCCTATCTCAATTGTGATGATTTTTTTTATCCGTCGTGAACCAAGAGGGCGGAGCTTATCTGCAAAATCCTTATTTCTCTACACCAAATTAAAAACATGTTTTTGAGTATCGTGTTGTTGAAAGAATACTATGTATGGTAAGAAATAAATAAAGCCAAAGATGCTCAATTGTGATGAATTTTTCATTTGTTGTCAGAGAGAGGGGTGGGGCTTAATGGCAAGATCCATATTTGTCTATAAGAATTTAGCATTTTAAACATGTTTTATGTTTCTTGTTCTGAAAAGACGACTACGTATATTAAGAAAAAAGGCAAAATATAAGCCCCGCCCACCAGCCCCATCTCAATTGTGATGATTTTTTTTAATCGTCGGGAGCCAAAGAACCGGAAATTAATTGCAAAATCCTTATTATTTCTCTACAAGAAATTACCATGTAAGACATGTTTTTGAGTATCGTGTTATTCAAAGAATATTATGCATATTAAGAAAAATTAAAGCCAAAGATTAAGTTCCATCCATACCTGCCCTGATTTAAATAGTAATGAAGTTTTCATTCGTTACCAGACCTAAGGGCGGAGTCTAATTGCAAAGTCCATATTTCCTTACAAAAATTTACAATTTTAGACGTGTTTCAAGTTTATAAGAATAAAATAATCATCACAATTGAAAAAGGGCGGGTGGGCGGGCTTACATTTGGCCTTTTTGTTTTAATATGTGTAGACTTTTTTACACAACATGAAACTTAAAACATGTTTAAAATGGAAAATTTGTATAAAGAAATATCGATTTTGCAATTAGGTTGCGCCCCATAATTGCAAAATCCATATTTCCTCGCAAAAATTTCCCATTTTAACCATGTTCTAATTTTCTTGTTGTGAAAAGATGGCTATGTATATTAAAAAAAAAGGCAAAATATAAGCCCCGCCCACCCGCCCTATCTCATTTCTGACGATTTTTTTATTCATCGTAAGCCGAGGGGCGGAGCTTAATTGTAATTTTTCTACGAGAAATTACCATGTTCTTAAGTAATCGTGTTATACAAAGAAAACTAAATGTGTTAATTAAAAAAGAAAACCAAAAGGGAAGCCCCACCCATCCGTCTCGATCTCAATCCTGATGAATTTTTCATTCGGTGTCACACAGAGGGGCAGAGCGTAATTGCAAAATCCTTATTTTTCTACAAGAAATATAAAACATGTTTTTGAGTGTTGTGTTGTTCAAAGAATACTATGTATATTAAGAAAAAAACAAGCCAAAAATTAAGCGCCACCCATATCCATCACAAGCTCAATTGTGATGAATTTTTCATTCGTTGTCAGACCGAAAGCCTGAACCTAATTACAAAATCGATACCTTTCTACAAAAATTTATCATTTTAAACATGTTTTACCTTTCTTGTTGTGAAAAGAAGACTAAACATATTAAGAAAAAAGGACAAAATATAGTTATAATACCTAATCTTGTTTTTGAGACGAATAGCAATAAATCTTGTTAATTTAAACGTCGAGAACTATCTTTAACAGTGCAGAAGTACTGACGGAAAACTACAGTGTAGAAAATGATGGCAGCTATTTAAGATATGTGGGTTTCGGTGAACAGGTGATTAAATGGCCTAATATTAGTGGACGTCATTGTCTCTATCAAAATTTGATTTTCGTGGAATTAGTGCTCTCAACCAGAAAAATGTCCCGACACTACCGCAATTTGATTGAAAACCCAACGTCAACGGCAACGTAACGGCAAAAGTTCAAAGTTGGTCATCTCGAACGTCACCCCAACGGCGTGCTAACTTTGAACGGCAACGTCAACAGATGATATAAACGGCAACGTCAACAGATGATATAAACGGCAACGTCAACGGCGAACAGCAACGTCAGCGACAAGTTTATAAATCGATCTATATTTTCAGAGCTTTTTTCAAATTCAATCATAGTCTACACATATTCTCGCATAAAATGCCGAAAGATATTTAAGATTTATACCTATGTAACAATCTATCTGATGATCGTTACTCCACAAACGGTACAGGAATTGTAAGCGGAAATTGAAAAAAAATTAAATGATTCATTTTCTTAGATGCAATATCCTCCGTATGATTGGTAGACATAAGTGACGCATCCGCAACAGGCGAAAGTTGCTTAACTACTGCGTTTAAATTTTAATTTACCAACGTTTCAAGTTGCAGGAAAATTAGAAGTGTCGTGGTAAAGTTATTGCTAAACGAGTTTTCAGGATTTTAGGAGACAACCATGACGCTCATGTATGAACGTTATTAACGTCCAAATCAAAATTGAAGACAAAGGGGAGATGTTTGTTATTTAATACAGAGTACACTGACCGTCACAATATAAAAATATTCAAAAATTACGAAAAAGAAAACCAAAGTGGTTTCATCATAGACCGAAAAATATTTACGAAACTCAACAAATTGTAATAACAACAACAAAATTAAAAGCAAAAAGAAAGAAAAAAATTAATTTAAAATGTTGAAAATCGAGACATTAAACCTAAATGAAATTCTGGTCTTTCAAAATTCTATAAATAAGTTAAGTTAGGGCAAACTTTTCAACAGCTTAACTTCTTTTGTTGCTCATGATAAATGAAATTCTTCTAAATTATGTTTAAAAAATAAACAGTTGTTTTGAAAATATCTTAGCTTATTAGTGAGTGATAATTTTTTTCTTTGCAATGAATTCCTTATTAATATCGTAATCAGTGTTAAAAAAGCCAATAAGTCGAGATGATTACAGTTATTGCTCGATTCTTAATTATTTCGTGACAGTAATAGATTAAAAAAATTATTGCAAGGCTCATAACATTTACATAAATACATCATAGCAGGGAAACACTTTATGTTAAGATTTTACACTACGAGCAACGGATTCTATTTTAGTTTATTATGAATTAAATTAAAACTGATCATGATATAAACAACGAAAATATTCAATATCTATAACTCAAAAGTTCTGCTGCAATATAGATCGGGTTCGTGAAGGAACTTCTTTTTTTTTCAAAAAAATTTGGTAATTGTAGTTACATAACAGTATTTTGATAAAGTAGTGAAACAAACACCAGTAATGTAATGAAAATATAATTAATAATTTTCACTGATTTCAGTTCATTTAACCAAAGTATGTGAAAAAACAAATACATTCCTATTTCAGCGAATTTCTCTACCGTACAATAATGGACTACAATGCAAATCTTGTTAAAGAAAAAGACGTTATTGTCCAAAAATTGTATTAAAAACAGGTACAACAAGAGTTAACTTTTTGGGGGTAAAATTAAAATCTATTTGAAACCATGAAAGTTATGACGTCAACGATTCTTTGAATGAAAATCATCTTTATGTATTACATATTAATATAAATCTTATGTGGTGAAGTGAAACTCATATATATGTAAATGTATGTTGCCACAATCAACGCAATTCCAATAGTCTATTTTAAATAAACACAAATTAAATAACTACATACCGTGTATTTTATTTTTCTTTTCCTTATAATAAGAATTACAGTTTATGACATTTTGTATTTACGAAAGATGTGAAAAAGCTTTGATGGCAACTGCAGTTAAAAGTGGTGGAAGGATGCCCTGCCTGTTTAGAGGTTAATTGTAAACAAGCTGTCATTGCTTTTGCCCTGATTTTTTGTTTCGTCAGTGCAGTACGAGTTTTTACCTTCAAGAGTTGATTTTTGTCCAGCTAGAATCGTGACCTGTTATACTTCTCTAGAGTTGGTCAAAAATTTTACTATCAAATGTACAAATACCACAACAATATGTCATTGAACTTTTTAGGTATTTAAACGTGACCCGTTCAGTGATTAGCGAATAATATCAGAATGATGAATTTCATGCACCATAGCCCTCGTGTGGAATTTCCTGAACTGTAATTTTTTGTAGTTTTTGGTTCTGTTACACGACAGTCGTCTCTTCAGGTTTATGGGCGTTAATTTAGCCACCAACGATATAAATAGATTAGAATGGCCTATTATCAGCAATATCCGGTACGTTCACGTACAATATTGTAGTGATGACCTAACAGGAGGCACTTAATTTATTTTTGTATTTGGAATGTAATTACGCTCGATGAAAAATATATAGCATTCATTTGAATTTCGCAGGTAAACATCGACCTTCGAAATGTTTATCTGAAGATAGGTAAAAATATTCAAAAAATTTCGTTGCTCGGGAGCTACTTTAAAAGATATGCAAATCGTTCCATCAAAATGAACAAACGGTAAAACTACCTGTATTTTGAAAAAGTTTGAAATATTTTCGAAAGTTCGGTTTAGATTAGGTTTTTGAAAAAATCGTACCTTTTGACTATTTTTGTATCGAGTACATGGCGGGAGAGGGTAGGTGTATCACACGGTCACGTTGCAGTTGAGAAATCGCGCAGACTTTCACAGAACGTTCTACACCAACACCGGCCGTCAACTAATGCTAATGGATGAAGGAGTAAAGAAAAATATTGGGCTGTCACATTTTTGACCGGCGCATGCGTTCGGCAAATTACTTATTGTTTAAAAAGTATAAATTGTTGAACCTGATTGCCCTATCAAAATAAATATTAAGTACGCACACATTTTTCTTAATATAGTATGTTGATCTTAATATTTTTATTACATATCTAATAACAATATAATAATAGAGATAATGAGAAACGATTAAACAAGCACCACTGAAGAGGACTATTTGACGTCATAATCTCCTAAAAGCAGATTTTCTTCAAATTCCAGTTGTGTTTAACAATATCAATGGTTTTTTCGCGTAACATGCCAAAGGTTAACACCAATGATTGATTAACATGGTAAAAGACCGATTCTAATTTATTTATAGAATGATAAAGTGATTTGTTTTCATTTTATTGCACTAGTGACGTCTGTTGGAAGGTTATTGACTAACAAAAAACTTTGTCCGCCGTATCCGCCAATATTATAAGTGGATACCTACATCTCATTTACATTCATAAACTGGTGTTTGTAATTTATAAACTCGTAGAACCAAAAAGTTTGCAACTTTATTTTCCATGATAGAGTCCAATATCAGAATCAAACATAGATATGCCATTTTATTGTATAACATGCGTGTTCATATGTTATATGATAAAAAAAAGGCATTGTATTTGCTGTTTCCTTAAGTTAAGAAATATGTAACACAAATAAAAACATTGACAGCGTACTATATTTATTAAACCTATTATTATTATTATTATTATTACATGTTAGTCTTATAACATCATGAGTGGCAAATGACACTTAATATATTATGCTGTTATAACGCATCAAATTAAAATTGCTTTCAAACATTATCTTTAAATGTGATTGATTGATTAACACTCTTACATATTACACTTATGTACATTTACAACTGCATGATATGTTCGTAATACCACTTTACTTAGTTGACGTTATAAATATCTAATATATTTACAACAATTGTCTTAATTGTTCAGTAAAGTAACACAGTGTCTCGTGAGAATGAAAATAAAAAAAAGTTATTTCGACTTCTCCAACCTTTCTAAAATCTCCAAACTTTTTAAGTTTATAGGGTGTTCAGTTGCAAATTTCTGATTAGCTATTTATTTTTAACAACCTTTAAATTTTGACACATTGATACAGAATAGGCTCTCTAATCCACTAAAAAGTTATAAACGAACAAACTGTTATCTGTGATTTAATACTATATGTATATTTTTAACTTTACCTACACACCTATTCCATAAAATTAAATTTGTACATTAAAATTTTGCAAATTGTCTTAGAACTTGTACAGCGAACCTTTTTGACATTTTAGTAAGTCACTAAGCTAACGTTTACTATATTTATTTACATATCTCACCCACAGATTTGGCAATATTATGTCAATATTTTTTTTTTAATTCAAAAAACACTGTCAGTCACAATGAATTTTGTTTAAAAAAACAAATAGCTGTAAATATACCGGGTGAGTCACTAAGCTCGCGGTTCTCAATACCTCATTCTTTGAGTCGCAAACACTAAAATTATTTCCGACTACACAGAATTTTTTTCTTTAATTTTTTAGCAAAATTTCTCCAAAAAAATCAATAATAATATTATCTTTATTATCTGTATCGCAATATTTTATGGAGAGATAAACAGAGGTGCGCACTTTATTGTGGTAACAATTAAATCAAATTTTAATATACAGATTTATAAAAATAATCTAAAACGGTACAGTTTTCAAATATTGATATTTACGTTTTTTCAAATGAAACACCCCACATTTTATTACTACAGCTTACCTTTTTTTTCTATTCTTTCAATATGTCGTATATATGGACTCATCGGCTTGGTCTTTGGGAGCATTCATTAGACAGTTTTTTCAAACAAGAGAACAATCGAAACGACAATGCACTAACGGGACCGAATGAAGACAGAGATGAGTTATAGTTATCAAGAGATACTGAATACTGTACTGACAATTGCATAACACTTGCAAATATATTTTCGATGTAAATATTTTCCATAATTAATTTTTATAAGTAATTTAAGTTACGTCTTTAGAACACCAGAGAATTAGCATAGAATTAAAATGTGAAGTCTGTGGTATTGTATGGTCCATCGATCATAATAACTCTTTACCGATCTCCATCAAGTAACTTAGATGAGTTTATACAGATTCTTTATACTCTGTTTATCAAGTTCAGGATAACAAATAAAAATGTATTATTAGTTAACGACTTTAATTATCATTTTAATAATAACTCTCTCAGAAAACAAATTTTCTCGACTTCGTCAGATCATTTGGTTTCGAGGTCCAAATCTCAGATAGCACTCGCCTCAGTAATTGCATAGCCAATGTTATTAGCACCACCAGTTTTGAGTTGAAATACCAACCCATAGATCCCTACCTATCGGACCACAAGGGGATGTATGTCTGCTAGGCTACTCGCCGTAGTTTTTTACCGTAATCTTGTTGATTACGACTGGACATTTAAGGGCGGTTCACAGTTAGATACAGGGTGATTTCGAAATATATGTAATGATTGTAACCACGGCATCACGTACCATAGTAATGTGGAAATATAGAAAAAACAAATTAAAAGTCGAATCGGGCAAAACCCCCATGCACCATCCTTGATGCGATGCTACTGATCCACCTTTTAAACAGTAGCTGGAAAAACGTTCAAATAAAAACGATGTAAACACTTTCAGTTTCAATTAAAAGTCAATCCAACTTTTTGCTAGTTATCATTCATTCATTCATGTATTCATTCATCGTTAAAGGTCAATGCGAATGTTATTAGTTGTAGAAACATTCCACATTGTTTAGTAGAACAAAAATAAGAGCAACTTGGAATGCAACCACCGTTTTACAATAAATGTTGAAAATGTTGTCCTTGACTAGCAATACAGACTTCAACACGTCGCAACATGTTTGCACGGATACGTAAAAAAACTCCAGGAGTTCCACGAACTGTAGCGGCTTTTTGCAACTCTTCGATAGTTTCTGGACACTGTTGATTTCCATAAACTAACTCTTTCATCCAACCCCACAGACAAAAATCACACGTGATGCGTTTAGTCTGTTCAGTAAAACATAAAGACCTACTAAGCGGTCATTTACGATACTGGCCCACACATTAATGGAAAACCGTCTTTGAAATCGTACTTCTTGACGAGCGAGTGGATTTTGATAGGACCAAATGTGAGTGTTGTGACTGTTGAAAACAGGATTAAGAGTGAATCCTGCTTTATCCGTAAACCGAATGCAATTTAAAAAGTTAGGGCGTTCATGACATTGCTGTAACAACCATTCGCAGTAAATTACACTACGTGAAGAATCAGCGGGCTCCAAAACTTGCATTTTTTGAAGGTAGTGAGGATGTAGGCCTTGTTCTTTTAATATACGTTGCACTGCAAACTGTGAAACTCCAACTTCAGCTGCAAGTCGGCGAGTGCTGATGTCGGGTCTTTTTCGACGCGTTCCAAAATTTGTTCTTCAGCTTGCAGTATTCCTTCGGTTTTATCATGGCCATGCTCGTTTGAGATTTAAAGGTGCTATGATCTCAGAGATGCTGTACAAATTGTTCGTACACACGGAATCGTGCGATATGGAAAGTGCTCCATCCACAATTCGCGGGCCAACCTGGCGTTTCCATCAGCCACACCATAAAGTATTACCATGTGGATACGCTCTGTTATGGTAGGTCAAGAAACACTACCTCTGACGTGTATAACAATTTATATTTAATTTAAAATAATTCATAGGGACCTATACCCCTTTTTTTTATTGCACGCATTTCGAAATTAGAGTGTATTGTATATATTTTTCCAGGATGGCTAAAGACGTCATAGAAAACATTAGCAGCACTACAAAAAATTCAATTGAAAAATTGATAAATACCCGCAGATTTAAAGATCTTAATTTCAGTGTCAATGAAATCAGCTCAGTAATGGTACAGCATGTTACTAAGTCATTAAAAAAAATCTAAAGACGTCTGCGAAACGAATATAAATATATTGAAATATATAGTTGACCTCATAGTATCACCCTTAACAAAATTAGTAAACATGATAATAAGATAAGGCAAATTTCCAGATTGCTTAAAACTGTAAAGGGCATCCATCTTTAAAAAAAAGAAATACATATAAACAAAGTCTCAAATTATCATCCAATGTCCATTAAATCATCATTTTCAAAAATAATTGAAAAGTTGCTTTTTCAACAATTATTACCTGATTCCAAGTCAAATGGTGTGTGGTGCTTAGTTTGATTTCATACCAGACAAATCCACCATAATGGCAATCATGGATAGTTGAAGGTTCTGCACTTAGACCGCAAACTGGAGTAACGTTTTACAACTTATTTAAGGCATCCGACTGTTTGAAGCCCGACATACTAGTAGAGAAATTAAAATGTTATAGTCAGTAGCGTAGCTAACTTCCACTGCGCCCCCTCGCAATTTATAGTAAGCGCCCCCATACACCACATTTAAAAAGTAATATAAATAAGTACTTACTGGTTTACACATTTAAAAAAATATATATCCCTTACGTTACGGTCTGCGCCCCATTTGGCGCTGCGCCCCCCCGCAATGCGGGGTCTGCGGGGGTGCTGTTTACGGCACTGGTTATAGTGTAAAAGAGTCAGGACACCCTTTGTTATTGAGTTACCTGACGCATAGATCACAATATTATGGGTTTGTACCATCTACAGCGGCTGTTGAACTGGAAGTTCCCCAAGGCTGCGTCTTGGGGCCATTTGTTTTTTTTTTTATATGTTAATGATCTCTCCTGTCTCCCTGGCAAACGGTGTTGTATGCAGATGATACCACGTTGGTTAGTACGGTTTCCAACTTAGATGAGCTTTGTGATCAAATGGTGCGCTCGCGGTCGAATGCCTCGGACTAGTTCCATGTAAATAAATTAAAATCGGACTAAACTAAAACATGAGTTGCT